ACACTGGCTGCCGTGAAAGTATCCTCTTCCTTCCCTCTTACCGCCACTAACAGACCTTTGCCAATTGCGTGACAATTATTTGGGGACTCTTGTGGCTGAATTTGAGGAAATGTTTTTGTTCTATTCTGGGAAAGTCTACACCCTGCCAGTGGATCCTCAGACGGCGGTGGCCAAGGGAAGCCCCAGATCTGAGCCCCTGATTTTGGTACTGGGGTCGCTGATGGTCCGAAAAGAACCGAGCTCAGTTTTAACTACTGCACATGACCGTGTAAAACGCGACGTTCGCTGCCGTGCGACGGCACCGACACTGGTCTCAGGGGCGCTCTCCACTGTTGGAGGCCTCGCAGGTGCTCAGTGCCCGGCCAGCGCGGCCCTCGAGGTCGGCTGGCCCCTTTCTCGTCGCCTCTTTGTTCCCCACCGTACCCAGCCGCTTCCGGCGGCTCCACGGAAAGGCAGGCGAGCGGACGAGAAGGGTGGGGGCCCGGGAGGAACCCCTCAGTCCCGGTCTTCAGCGAGGACCCCCGCCCCCTCCCCGGCCCAGGCACCGCCCCCACACAGGGTCATCCGGCCAGGGCACTTCTCTCCAGAACGGGGGTCAACGGCTCCTTCCCCGGAGACAGCAGGAAAATGGTGTCTCCCGGAAGTGACTTCAAGGCCTCCTAGAGCGGCTTCCGATCCTACCGGAAGTGGCGGACGGAGGCCGGTGCATCCCGCGACTGTGGAGGGCGAGGTGACCCCGGTACGGGAGTAGGGTCCGGGGCCGCGGTCCTGGCGGCCCTTAGGAGGGTGGGGGCGCCGCCTGGGCTGGGGAGGATGAGGGCGCCGGGGAGGGCCTGTCGGGGTGGGAGTGGAGCGTCCTGGGCATGAACCAGGCGCCTGTCGACCCTCGGTCCTGCAGGCGCCGCCGCCACCATGGGCCGTGCGTTTGGGAACCTGACGCGGGTACGGCATGTGATCACCTACAGCATTTCGCCCTTCGAGCAGCGTGCCTTCCCGCACTACTTCACCAAGGGCATCCCCAACGTGCTGCGCCGCATCCAGGCGTCCATCCTTCGCTCCGCGCCGCGTGAGTGCCCTGGCCGGGGCGGGGGCGGGACTCCCGCCAGCAGTGCCGAGTGCAGGGCCCCTCACGGAGCGCTCGCTCCGCAGCTTGCCATACATACGTTTTCTCATTGAAAATTCCCGAAGGCCCTTGAACTAGTCACATCATCCTCCCCATCCTACAGATGAGGAAATTGAGTCATAGAGAACTTAACGACTGGCCCAAGGTCACTTGGGTGACTCCAGCGTCTCCTCTGAGGTCATCTTTGTTAGCGATGAACTTTCTTAGTGTTAAAAGTGCAGCAGCACAACATTGTGAATTTGGTAGAAACCACAGAAGTGTACACTTCAAAGTAGTTGATTGGTGGATTTTGTTATGTTAATTTTATCAGTTACTAAAATATTTTAAAATGTGCAATAGGGGAGAGATTAGGAAGGTTCGATGACAATTTGCTGGGTAGACCTTCTCTTGGTCACCTATATAATGGGTGTGTAAGGTAGTTGTTCTTGATCGTCTGGTTTAAAAGTGTTTTTGTAAAACTAGAGTCAGGAGGGCAGGATCTGTTGTGATTCAGGAAGGAGGACAGGACCCCTTTATTTTATATATGCTTACTGCTTACTCTCACTTTTTGATTTTTAAAGCATTTGTAGCATTTTATCTTCTCTACACATGGGGAACCCAGGAGTTTGAAAAATCCAAGAGGAAGGATCCAGCTGTCTATGAAAATGACCAATGAGCAACTCATCTGGAGAATGGTTCCCTGTCTGAAAGACCCTTCTCTGGAAGAGGATTCTACATTGTAGTGTCTTGAAGACACAATAAACTTCTTATGGGCTGCACTGTTGTTAGTTTGCATTTCTGTGAGCAGTCCTTGGTGTGATTGCCAGTATTCAAGTTCATGAACTCCCCTCCCCAGATGAGTCCTGAACAATTTTGGCTAGCCTGGGAATTTGGTGAAGGAGCGGGTCTCACCCCTTGTTCTGTTATCTACAAGAAAGTAGCTGCAGCGACTCCTGCAAGCTGATCAGTAGTGGGTGGCATGGACTGTGGGGAGTTAGTTCCTGTCCCTCTGCTCCCATAATAACAATAAAATCTACTAACTATATTGTAATTACTATGTGTCAGGCACTCTTCTTAGCTGTTTACACAAGTAAGCTCTTTTAAACCTCACAGCTGCCTTTGAAGTATCATTGTTACACTCACTTTGCAAATGAGGGCAGGCACAGAGAGGGTAAGTAATTTGCCCCAAATTACACAGCTAGTGAATGGTGTAGTTTGGCACTAAAGTTTATATTCTTAAAGCTACACTAGACTGCCTTTCCTCCTAAGGCAAGCCTTTCTTAGCCTGAGGGGAAGTCAGCTATAAAAGGAGGGGGTGAGGTGACGCTTTGGCCCCTAGAGCTGGGGGCAGCACACTGGTTGTGTTTGTACCAGGTTGCTAACTGGTTTTGAACCATATCTGTCCCATAAAGCCTAAAATACTCCTCTGGCCCTTTATGGAAAACGTTTGCCCATTCTAGAGCCTTTAAACTGTCTTTTTAGTAGAAAAGTTACCTTTTTCCTTTCACCAGGAGATGGTTGGGGTAGGTGTTGGCAGTTTTATGCTTCTGCTTCCCTGCTCCATTTCTAGAAACCTAAGGACACTTCCTGTTGGTCCAGAGCAGCAACTTGCACAGTGTAGCTCAGCTTCTCACCCAGGCTGTATCTTTCCTTCTCATTCTGATTATTTTTGCCTTTTAGAAACCAAAATTAAAATACTTCAAAACAAACAAAATCAGTAGTAAGATAAATTGCATTGATTGTGAGGCAGGATAAGGAGGAATGGCTGAGTGACATTGGGTCCACGCTCTTTAACTGTTGCTTCCTCCCTGTGTGATACAGGCAAGAAGCCCGCATTCCTGAGCTTTGAACTTGTCACCCATAAAACAGATGTGTTAATACAAAGCCACAGGATTGTGGTGACAGTGAAATGAGTGATACATAATATCTGGCAGGCTGGTGCAGGTCTGAAGGATAGCTGTATGATGAAAACTCACCTCATTAAACATGGTCCTATTTTCTTGTTTGGCTCTTTGCCCAAATTTATTCTCAAGGCTTGCTCTGATCTGCAACACATTTTGGTCATGGACTTTGAGAATCTGATGAGAGCTGTGGACCTGAAGAAGGTGTAAATGCACCCATCCTTAACTTGACATGGTTTCACTAGGTCCACACACCAGGGGAGGACCACGGTCATTCATGAATCTCTTTCTCTCACTGATTTTAGCCCCAAGCTTCCTAGGGGAGATGGCCCCCTTTCTCTTTTGGCTTCATTTTACCCACAGACTGACTTTTCTCTTTGACTCTCTTGGAGATAACAGCTCAAAATCAAACTTACCCCTTTCTCAGCACAGCGCGTTGGTCTGAATCCTTTTGATCATCCTTTTGATCACAGGAATGCCCTACTGAGAAGCCCTCACACATACTGAGCTTCTGCTTTGGGATAAAATTGTTAAAGGCTGGGGCTGGCCAAATGGCTCAGTTGGTTAAGAGCATGAGCTCTGAGCAACAAGGTCACCAGTTCAATTCCCATATGGGCCAGTGATCTGCACCCAAACTGAGCTGCCGCTGAGCTGGTGAGAGTGCATGCTCTTAGCAGCAAGGTTGCCAGCTCAACTCCCCCATGGGATGGTGGGCTGCCCCCCCCCCACCTCCGCAACTAAGATTGAACACGGCACCTTGAGCTGAGCAGGGTGGCTGGATGGCTCAGTGTGCAACAAGGTTACCGGTTTGACTCCCGCATGGGATGGTGGGCTGCGCCCCGCGCCCCCCCCCGCAACTAGATTGAAAGCAGCAACAACTTGGAGCTGAGCCTGTGCCCTTCACAACTAAGATTGAAAGACAACGACTTGACTTGGAGCTGATGAGTCCTGGAAAAACACAACATTCCCCTTCTCCAAATCCCCAGTAAAAATCTAAAAAAAAAATTGATAAAGGCTGCTTGAGCTTGTCTCTCATCAAAAGGCTCCCCTCCAGGGCCGGCCGAGTGGCGCGTTGGTTAAGAACTGGCTTGGGACGCCAGAGGGCCCCGGTTCAGATCCCACATATGAGGGCCAGTGACACTGCCCTCTACAGCTAAGATGCTGAACAACAGCTCAACCTGGAGCTGGGCTGCCGTGAGTCGCCGGCGACGGCGTAGGCTGCAGCCCCTGCTGCAGTGGGTTGCCATGGGCTACTGTGTGAAGCCATCAGCCAGCGTGAGTGGCCAGCAGCCGCAGTGAGCAGCCGTCCAGAAGCCGGCGACTGATGTGCCTCCCCGGGAAGAGCGCAATGATGGTGCCAACTTGGGCCAGTGAAGCAACATCCTCCACAACTAGACTGAAGAACAAAACGACAGCAACTTGTCTGTTTCCCTTCTCCCGATTCCCCAACGCTGTTCCCATCCCCCAAATTCCCCAATAAAAATCTTTAAAAAAAAAAAAAAGGCTCCCCTCCATAAGTCTGGAGGCACGGAGCTCTGTAGCAGGGTGCTGAGGTGGGGTAGAATGGGGTGAATTATCTTAGCTCAGTGCTCTTGTACATGAGAGGGAATCTGGGATCATTTTCGTGATGATTCTATCTGTAGAAATCCATAAAGCAAAGGAAAAATGGTTAAGTCTTTGAAGGAAAGAAGAGGGACCACTGCTGTGGGCCCCAAGGCCTGTAACACCCCCCTGGAGTCCCCAGCCCTGGGTGTGGCTTTGACACCTGGGGCACAGCCAATGTTCATTCGGCCCTGCTTGTCCCCAGCAGTGCTCCTGCCCCCACAAGGGCTTTCATCTCCCCGCTGCAGAATGGAACTCTGGCCAGTCTGCCAACACAGCCGCGGAGATATGGCCCTACCTAGGACAGGCCCACAAGTCTGTGCCAGTTCCAGCCAGCAAAAGAGCGAACACACTTTGATCCTTTGTTGAAATTTTACCTGGAAAAGTTTTTCCATTTCAGGTAAGTCTTTCATTTTTTATTAGGCACCTCCTGCTCAGGGACAGCAAAATAGTTTCCAATTACTTCCAAGCCCTAATAGTCTCCTCTCCACCTGCAATGTGTTTCAGACATCTGCCGGGGTGTGCTCCCTCTCCCGTCATCCCAGACACTTACCTCAGAAGCAGGAAATCCCTCGGAGCTGCGCTCAGAGGTACCAAGCTATAAACGATCACACGTGCTTCAGTCTCATTTTCGTCTTGTAAATTAATCATTGGAACTGCCAAATGTCAGTCAGTATCTGAGAGGCCTCGGGGACCTCCCATCTCATTGACAGAACGAGAGACAAAAGCCCAAAGATGGGAAGGGCTGGCCTGTGCTCAGTTCCTCTACCTACACCCCGACTCGCACCTCCCAGCCGAGCATTCTTCTTATGGCTGAAATTGTTAAAGGCTGCTTAGGCCTTTCCCTGGAGGAAGGAGCATTTAGTTGTGTTTATTTATTCAGCAAAATACTTGCAGAGAGCCCGTGACTTTTAAGCATTTTTAGTTTTTTAAATTTCAGGAATAGGGCTTCACAATTACTCAAGGGGTGCAGGATGGCTGTGGACAACTGCTGTCACCTCAGCTTAATGCTGCCTGGGTGTCACTTTGCTTTTAAAATTTTGACTTTTGCTCCATATTTAACTTAAAACAACTGCAGAGTTAGTTTAGACCGATGTTGAAATCCTCTCCCTAACAGTGGTTCCTTCCACAGGCAGTAACTGATAGTTCCTTTCTTTTGAGAGGAGAGGTGGCATGTAAGATAGAGGCTTGAGACATAAAGCCTTCTGCCAGGCTGTCACTCCCATGATGATGAATGGTCAATTTTTCCCCTATGCACAGGGGGCCTGGGACTGCAGACCCTCCCTTGGGGGTGGTATTGATTTTATAAGTTAACACAAAAACGCTAGCTTCATTTGCTTGGAGAGCAGGAAGGCACAAATGGAGGAATAGGAGAAAGTGCCCCTAAGGGAACAAGCAGTTTCCAAATCGCATTTGGACATCACTCCATGCTGAGAAGGGGAGGCTGGCACCAAGTCCACAGATCCAACTGGCTCTAGGACATCACGTTGTGCAGCCTTTTGCTTATCTAATCGGCTTTGTGTTCTTACCCAATGTTCACTAGGTCACCACGCAGCGTCGTCCCCATCCCACAGAAGTTCCTAGTTAAGCCCCTACCTGGGGTCATTCAGGATCCGAGCTCAGGGTAAAGAGAAGGGGCAACTAACCAGTCTCAAACTCGGAGGGTTCGTAAGGTGGGCTTGGCATAGGCCTGCTTCTCAATGTTCCTAAAGTGCAAGCAGTGGTGTCTCCCTCCAGGCCTGGCTCCAAGGTCCTGAGAGAACTGGAACCGGGACAGACATATCTGTGGTCACACCCCTCCCAATCCCACCTCCGAGGCCCCCCCTGCCACCCTCTTCTCCCTTGGCATGACAGCTGGTGGCCATTCAGCACCTTCGGCTGTGCTGCATCTCCTCCACTTTTCCTTGGGGAACAGGGAGGAGCTCAGCATACATCCAATCTCTGAAGATGAGAAGGGTCTTGGGAAGCGGTATCAGCAGTTTTCACGGAGACGTCAGGCAGAGAAAGAATCTTGTTGCATTTGTCTTGTTGGCTAATCCAGGTCATAGGAAGATCTAAAGTTCTAGAAACCTCCTTACTCAGAATCCACCCCTTTCCCCCAAGTTTATTAAAAAGCCCATATCATTTAATGAGCACCCATAACTACTCATGATTTAGGTGCATGCCCTGTCTAGGTGTAGAAGCCTGCAGCAATTGCTAAGCCTATGGGTTTTGGTCTTTGGAGATAGCTCAGCCCTGGGCCTGCTTCCCTGAGGCTGCTGGGAGGATACGCTCTTTAGAAGGCCCCCGTCAACTACTGGGAGGAAAGCCCATAATTCAAGGCTTTGTCACCACCACACAAGCTCTCCCACTCATTTAGGAGTCCCTGCTACCTCATTCACCTTTTTTAAAAAACAAAAAAAATCAGCCTATACTCATCTATTCAATTCTCTGTCGATGGTTCAAGTTAAATCCCACATCGGTCCTGATTGCTCTCCCGGAGAGGGCAATGATCTGGAGCAGATAATTAGGATGACAGTCCGCCTCCACAAATAGGGGACCCGGGGCCTGTGGACCATGCTTGCTGAAGCATCCTCCCACAGTAGGGAGAGAAGGACCTTAACCAATTGCCTGTAACACAATAGATCAGTGCTTCTTTCCTAGACAAGGCTGAAAGGGGTCAACAGTATTTCTGAAGACCTCGTTATTAGAATTCTATTTTGATGAAAGTGACCTCACTGGGCTATTTTAGAATCAAAATCTGGCTTGGTGTCTGGCCTCCCTCAACGGCTTCACGTGGCTTTCAAAGGGGAGGGGGTAGTGCTGACTTTTGCTAAAATGGGTGAAAGGGTCCAAGCCAGCAACAATCACTCAAAGTCCAGATGAGGGATCAGTAAATACAACGTGCCTGAAAGACAGGCCTTGAGCACATTCCTCTGGTAGACATTAACTTATTAAATAGACCCTGATTGCAAAAATAAACTTTGCCCCCATCTCACCTGGCAACCATAAAGGAGGCAGATTTCAGTCTATAAAAGGAACTGGGAACTGTCCCTGGCTTTCACAGGCTCCAACATCCCGCCCCCGCCAGTGTCAAGATGTGGCACCTCAAACTCGTTGCACTGCTTGTGATCTGTCTGCTGCTGTTGGGCCAGGTGAGGAAAGGATATGTATGTGGATGTGTGGGGAGGGTGGCGGTGGTGGGGCCGTAAGCAGAACCTGAGAGGCAGACCGTCCTGAGGAATGGTTCCTCTGCTCTCAGCCTACAGCATCCTGGGAATGATCCTTCTTCCAAGGAGGGCTGCAGGGTGTCCATTCTTCCATACCTGAGGTGAATCTGTCTTTGCCCTACAGGCAGATGGCTCCCCAATACCAGAGCTGAGTTCGGCAAAGAGAAGGCTGCGGAGAATGACCCCATTTTGGAGAGGGGTTTCCCTCAGGCCCATTGGAGCCTCTTGCCGGGACGATTCTGAGTGTATCACCAGGCTATGCAGGTACCCCACAACCCTAGGAGCAGGGCTGAGCCAGAGGCCTGGGCAGCTGGGTACAGGAGAGATCAGTGCACATGCAGACTTTAAGAATAAAACTGGGATGGGAGGCTGAGGCTGGGAGCTCCATGCAGGAGAATCCCTCTGGAGCCAAGAGCCAGGAACAACCCCTCACAAGTACAAGAGGGGTGGGTGCTTTTCCTTTCTTCAGTCTTCCCTGAGACTGGGTAGATCAATCAGGGGAAAGCAACAGCAGGCTGGCTCTGGGCATTGCTACATTTGTCCTAAAAACCATCTTTTCTTTTCCTTTAGAAAGAGACGCTGTTCCCTAAGTGTGGCCCAGGAGTGATGGACATACGAGGGAAAGAGGACAGCACTATCCTACAATGCTCCGTTCTATGGAATATTGAGTAACTGCAATTTGGCTGGAGACACTTAAGTGAAGCAATCTTGTGTTTTTAAAATTTAAAGACAGATGTATGCTTTAAATTGGTCTCCGTTTCTTCTTAGAATGTTGATATTTAGATGAGCATGACTAAACTTGTCACTTTAGAGTTTATTTTTCTACGTATACTATTAAATGTCTTAAATTGAAATCTTGGCAGTCTGTAATTCAAGCCTTTGATGGGAAGGATTCACTTTGTACACTATAGAAAAAAACATCATTGCCTAATAATGAATGATGTGTTACTTCTCAATCTGGAAGCGAGTAGTAACAAAAGTAGTGTGAGTTAACATTTCTTCAAGAAATAACATAACGGCAGGCTAAAGGCATAAGTTTGGTAACAGCTACGTGATCAGCCTGGGCAGGTTCATAAGCTGTGATCCTAGCCCTTCACTCCCTGTAAAGAACTGTTCAGTGAGATGCCAAACATGGGCAATATGTATGTGGCACTCACTACTTGATGATGTACCTGAGTTTGTCTATGACTGAACAGAAGGCAGGACTGGAAGAAAAATCGAGTTTAATATAACGATAAAAGCCCAAGCCACCAAGAACAGCAAAGAGGACTTGTTTGAGGTTTCTGATGGAGCAAGGTGAATTTCGATCTGTACAAAGGGACCCATGGCCAGCAAGTGCAGCATTTCTGTAATCAAAAACTGAGACCTGGATTAGTGGGACCAGCTTTTAAAGAAGAGTAGCACTGGACCCTGAAACACAAAATAGAATTTACATGAAAAGGGCAGAGGAAGAGTTGAAGAAGTGTAAAGAGCACAGTGTTTAAAAACTTTAATACAGAAAATCTATTTGATATTTATTAAACTTAGTTTCTCCAGCTATGGTTTGGCATTATACAAAGCATCTTAATGACACAGTAGAGTTAAAAAGATCTTTACAAATTGAAATGTGATACCCTTGTCTCCAAATATTTTAATTGCCATAAATTTGTTTAAAAATACACATTAAACGCATGTTTGACACTCTAAACTTTCTATAATCTCAATACCACAAAATACATATAATATACTATACAGATGTGGAAAAAATCTAGTTAGTATATAATACTTTGCTCACCATTAACAGCTTTATTATGTGAAATGCACATACTGACTTAGAAATCCTAGCTTTTGAGCCCCAAAGTACCTCTGAAATTTTAACATATTGCAACAAATAAAAATCACAGTATATAATTGAAATTTTGGTTGAAAATGTCAGATGCCTAAATATTTTGGATAAAAGAAATGTAAAACAAAGGTTTGGATCATGTACAAAACAAAGGCATCCAATCAGACACTAACAGTACCTCTCTGCAGAATCAACAAGGCTTTTATTAGCGGCATTATCTCCCCTCCAAAACCCTCCCCAAATATCAAACTGTTTATCCACCAAATAATTTTAATTTCAAATAAGATAAAAGGATTTAAAATAAATATATAAGCATTTCCATCCTCCATATACAAAATTTCTTAGAACCATTCAAAATGGAGGCTAGAAAGAAATTTTCATAACCCTGCTTACCAACCCCGTATCTGGTCCTAAAGGTGGTACCTTTTCAGGCACTGCCAACTGGGCCAGCTCTGTTGGTGAGCCCCGCCTTGCCCCACCCCGCCCCACCCCAGTACTGTTGAATGCTCATGTCAATGATTTGCCAGGTGCGTGCATAAACTTGTAAAATGGGGACACTTCTTGAACAGCAACAACAAACTCAACAGTATGGATAAATCATGGCATTGACTTGAAAGGCAGCGTTTCCAAATAGATACTTTCCAGAGAAGAACATAGCAGGTAGAAAATTCCAATGGTTAAAAACTGTAAAGAAACCCCATGTAGAAGCAGGAAGAGGTCAAAACTGAATATTACTAGAATTTCTAGGTGGGAGCTTTTTTTTTTCCATGCTCATTTAGGGAGCTTTTTTGTTTCTTTTTAAGAATGGCAATTTATACTTTGCTGGGCAATGGTGGCAAGGGGAGGTCAATGCTGACATTCCCCAAAGTCAACTTCATTACATGATGATTACTGAGGATGCTATTTTAGGATGCTTAACGAGCTATACGACTTGATTTAGACTCAACCCTCATGCCATATTCTGTGGCCAGATTCCACCAAAAAGAAGACACTTAGGTATTCTTTCTGGAGACAGTAAGTTCTTTCTAATTAACCATAGGGTTCAATGGACTAGAATCAGCATCCGCTTTACCAGCTAGTAATAACTTACTGCCTGTCACCTGCCAGCTTGGTTCTAGGGTTGAGGGGTCTAAACTCAATTTCCCTTTAGCGAGTATGTGAAAGATATGTTCACAAACATGACCATTTTGGCCTCTTGTCGCTATATATTCCAAGTTATTCCATATTTACCTCTTCTATTTATCTTACTGAATAGCAACCTTAAATGTGCAATATTATTATTGGAAAAATTCTGCCTCTCCAATACACTGATACATGAAATTGAAATGATGATATCTGTGTTCCACTTAATTAGGGAACATGAGTTATAGGAGTCTATATGGATCTGAAATGCTTTCCCAATTTTCTTAGGCTTTTTGTTTAAAAGAATCATCGCAATCTCCCTAAAACAGTCATTCCCAGTAGATGTTCCTGGGACCCAGATGCAAACTCCTATAATTCAAAATACATAGTGAGGCCATTCTGTCCAATTAGCAACTGGAAAATTAAAATCCTTCCCACCCTGTAAGAGCCCTGTTATACTACAAAAAGGCTCAAATATACTTTAAAAGTTAATTTACTACAAATCATAGTAATTAAGCTTTAACGATCTAAAAGGAATACACATTGCACCCTTGAACATTAATATTCAAGGTGTCAACAAGAAAGTGTCTTAGGTCAATTTAATAAATAATGTGGAAATAGTTGCACTAAGCTAAAATACTAAACACACACATTTTGACAAACTAATTTCATGTTTTCATACATACATACATACATATATATAAAGTGTGTATGTGTACGTAATTTTAAAATCCAAAGTTGCATACCCTCACACCTGGAAGAGTGCACAGCGTGCCTCTCCTCCACACGATGGACGAGGTATCACACACTGGGGCAGCCACGGGCTGGACGCTCTGAAACTCCAGAGAGCTGCTGGTGCCAGAGCCCAGACTCTCATTTAGAATAGGTGCCTTCTGTAGGCACTTGCTTCACAATGCAAGCTCATTCACTAAAGGTAATTTCCCAAAGTGTCTGTCACTGAACACAAAATGATGCTGTCTGATCTAGCTGATTCAACCTTTCTTTAATGAAAAGGAAACAATTAAAAATGACGACAACAGCAAATCTAATAAAGCCACAAGTGTGTCATTCAAAGTGCAGGCCCATGCCTCAGTGCGAGCGCCCCAGAGCACAGGCATGTGTGGGCATGTGCACACATTACTCTAGATTGCTTCTATATCAGAGAATTTAATTAGTGGTGGTCAACCTTCTCCACTCTTCAGCAAATACAGCTGTAAATTTAATTGAAGTACTCATTCTTATAAAGGCAGTTCTTGGCTACTTGCCCGGAGAAAGGTGGAACTGAGGCAAGAAATGGGCCGAATGCTCCCCAGCCAGACTGGGCCTGGGCTGGACTGTAGAAGCTTGAATCACCTGGCGGAAGTGCTCCCCACAGCCCAGCCCAGGCTGGGCAAGACTACCATATAACAATGTCATCCACCGCAATCTGTCCGTTGGTTGCCTGGAAAGAGTCCAATGGTGCAGGCTGCTGCCTCCTGGCATACAAATGTGGTTTTAAAGAGCAGTCAACAGAGTAAGTTTTTAAATAGTTGCTATTTCTATAATTAACTATATGTTAATACAAGTTTCAGACTAAGTTATGTTTTTAGCCACTTGTCAAATTCAGTTTTAAATGGTTAGAGAACACCGAAGATACCTATTGAGGAAGGAGGAATGGTCACCCGTCAAGGAGTCCAAAGTATGTGCTGGAGCAGATGAAGACACAGACAGAACTTTGGAGGAGATGGCCTCAGAGGAGAGGGAGTGGTGTTTCCACAGACTATTACATTGAAAATTCAATTATTTAGGATAGGATATCGATCCATTGCCCATTACCACCTAGTGGGCAAAACCCTCCAGTTAAAAGCTTGCAAAATTCATTCTCCAAGACTTGACACAGTATCTTAGAGCAGCACCATAAGACATGCAGGAAACTCTGCTTTAACAAAAGATCAGTGTAACCCCCGAGTCACTCCTGCTGCCTTTCAGGCACACAAGAGACTAGATCACACTGGAACTCAGAGGTGCTCAGAGGCTGCTGTTGCTGAACGTCTAAAAGCTCATAGGATACTTTTCCCATTTCTAAAGACATCACTGCAAGTGAAGGAATCAGTCAGAGGAGTCAGAGAAGGCCAGGACATGTGTCTACTGGATCAACAGTGGCAAGTTTCTTAAGGAATAACTACCATGATCACTGAGAAGTTGTCCTCTTAAGGAAAACTGTTCCTAAAACACATGAAGATTAAGTTAGAAAGATATCAGAGGTAATTTCTCCAAGGGTAAAAGTTTAAATTCAACATAATTTGTAGATTTCAATCTTCAATGATATGCAAAAACAACTTGAGGTACAAAACAGTTAAGAAGCTCTATAAATATGAGGCAAGAGGACAATGGAAGTTCACTAGCTTCAGAAATAAATGTAAAAGAGACTCAGCACAGAGGATTCACTGCACCACTGGGCTTGGAGACTTTCTATCTCTTCTTTCCCACGTAAAGCCTTAGCAATCATTTATAAATAGCAGGACAATCCTTTTTTCTGATTGGATGGACTCATTTTTTGGAATGGGGAGAAGGACAAAGTATTTATTGAAGCAGCATTACCCAATAGGTTAGACTAAGTCATGTACCAAAGCATTAGCTTTTTTGAAAAAATTAATCTTTATGCAACCCTAAAGGAAGATTTAAAAAGGAAAGAGAATTTAATATTACTGCAGAAGACCAACAGTATGGGCGATCTGGTCCTAGTGTAAAACTTCATCTGTAAACAGTCCATAGAGTCTTCATTTAAAGGTAAGATTTAAGGCACACCAGACATGATAGGGGCACTAAAAACAAAGGACAGAGGGAATACTTCTCACCTCCGACTCCTATATGCACCTTACAGGGAAAGGTACTTCGATATACAACTCTTACAGAGCTGGCTTCTTAAGCTCTACTCCTAACTCCCCACCCCTTCCCAAGAAAGCCCACATTGAACCAAGTTAGGTACTTTTCTAGTGTGAATTTTCTGATCCTATCAGAAACATACATCATTGATGAGGGCCTTCATAATACAAAGGGAGTAATTATAAAACAGGTTTAAAAGGAGAAATTCATCATCTCTATATCAAGCATTAGAACGCTAAGTTATATAGCAAAAGCACACACACCAAAGCTCCAGCCCATTCCTATATCCGTCACTGCATGCTCCTATCAGAACATCACAATCTAGTATGGAAAAAACATTTTTAAATAAGAATTCTGAAGAGAGATTTTACCCTTCAAACATCATCAATGAAAGAGATATAGGCAGCAACCCTCAGGAGTTGGATCATCTTTGTTCAACAGTAACTTGCTCTGTTTCAATGAAGTGTCAAATAATTAGCAACAAAAAAGAACACATGGTTTTAATAAGATCCATAAAGTTCAAGATTGTCCTTTTATGATACTCTTCATGTGATATGCTTCTCCTAGAAAGCTTGCCTGCCCTCTTCTGTAATGCATTAAATGCAAGTTATAGTCACCTTGTGATTGTTATAGTGTTATTAACACATTCACAGTTCTTGAAATAATGCATACCAAATCAGACACATTTCATTTTATATCCACGTAGAATGCTATCTTCTCATATTTGATTTTTCATTTGGAGAAGAATATCCTTAATACTAAGTATAAATTCTACATTAATAAAATTGTAGTTAAGATTTGAAATATTATCAGGTAGTAGGTGTTGAAAGAACATGTCCCTATTTTAGATGAACCAACTCTTACTCTTAGAAGAGCTACCACAAAAAGACGTTATTAGGTAACAAAGCTCCCAAAATATATAAATAAAAATGCTTATTTTATGCTAAATATTTAACAGGATAAATTTATAGGCAGAAATAACTTTTAAACTAGCCCCAATCTGGGAACTTAAAAAATTAAAATAAATAGAATTTCAATTGATTAGTTATGAATTGCAGCTGGAATTTCAATTATTACAGATCACTGAAGCCATCTTATCAATATGCTGCAGATTTAAAAGCATTTAAATAATTTTTCATATTGGGAATATTGAAGGATCAACTGACATGATAGCTTTGGGGTATACAAAACAATAAAACATGAACCAAGGAGGAGAAAACCATTCCTCGTTCTTAGTGTCGACTAGGTGGCGTGTTATGGCAGTTTTCCTTTGCGATGTAACACAGTGTTGTGGAGAAAATCAGAGGCAACGAGAATGTGTTCAGTTCACGATATCAACTTGGCATCCTGGCGAAGCCAGTGCAGTCCCTGCCGGGTGTAACGAACTAGGTCTGTCATGATGCTTGCATTAAAGATGAGAGGGCCCATTACTTTATCCAGTTCAGCAAAGAATTCTAGAAAAACAGAAACACTCATTAAATGATGTACACTCTTTTTGAATCACTGCTTTAAAATTTTTAGTCCAGACTGTAAAACAGAATTCATATGAAGTAAAAAAATACTCCCTCCTACACTAAAATAACTCTCCATGTCTTAGAACAAACCAGTCTCTCAAGTTATATTTTTTCCCTAAGTCACAAAACATTTTAAATGAACTGTGTAGTCAGGAATTAAAGTGTTATACATATAAGCAGAATTCCGCTGATGGAAATTATAAATTGTTAGTATGCAATAAACGTTATTAAAATGGAGACCTAGTGCCACAACGCACTATTACTCAAAACATTCTCTGTGTACTGTTTTTGTACAAACAGCAGGTGGTATAAAAAAAGAGGATGGTCTTTGCATGTTTCCTTATAAGAGTCTCTGTGAGCTTCGACAGGTATGACAGCCTGTATCCAACCTTTCTGCTATAACCCTATGCCATGCAACACTGATAAATTAAATCCCATGTTTTACACAGTAGTTTAAAAATGTCAAGGATGGAGGCTGGATGAGTGGCTCAGTTGGTTAAGAGTTGGCTTAAGAGCGCGAGCTCTGAGCAACAGGGCCACCGGTTCCCACATGGGCCAGTGACACTGCGCCTGAGCTGAGCTGTCAACAGGTGGCAGGATGGCTCAGCTGGTGTAACAACAAGATTGCCTGTTGGATGGTGGCTATGCCCACCCGCAACTAAGGCTGAACTCGGCACCTTGAGCTGAGCTGCCGCCCTGATGGCTCAGTGGATAGAGCATGTGCTCTTAACAACAAGGCTGCTGGTTCGACTCCCGCATGGGATGGTGGCTACACCCACCTACAACTAAGATTGAACACAGCACCTTGAGCTTAGAGGCCACAAGCTGCCTATGGGCAGCCAGATGGCGACTGGCGCCCTCCACAACGAAGACTGAAGAACAACAACTTGGCTGGTCCCTTCCCCCAACCCCCCAACACAATTCCCTTCCCTCAATTCCCCAATAAAATCTTAAAAAAAAAAAAAAAGTCAAGGATGGAAATGAAAGGATTTTTCCTATATGAACAAATATAACCTGATGTGTATATGAGGCCGGGTGTAGAGAGGAGGAGGGGACAACAGTATCCTAACAGTATCCCAAAGCAATTTTGGGAGAAGATAGAGGGACGTAGGACTCAGACAGTAAAGAGTGCTGATACCTGTGCACAGAAAAAGGGGTCATTCTCATGATGAATATCTCAGCCTACTCAAATAAGGCAAGACATAATCAGACAGTTGAGGAGAAAAGGGTCTTCTTTACAGAATTCCAGCTAATTTATGCAGAAGAAATATCAGAACAGCAAATTCCTGATGTATTTTCTATTTCCTAATGGGATAATAAATGTAGGTAATGATTGTCAATGGATGCTAACAGCGTAAGTTAAAGTTCAATAGTGGGGCGGCCAGGTGGCTCAGTTGGTTAGAGTGCGTGCTCTGAACAACACAGTTGCCGGTTTGATTCCCACATGGGCCAGTGAGCTGCATCCTTCGCAACTAGATTGAAGACAACGACTTGAGCTGAGCTGCTGTGGAGCTGCTGGTGGGCTGCTGGATAGCTAGGTGGTTAGAGTGAGTGCTCTTAACAACAAAGTTGCTGGTTCAATTCCCACATGGGATGTTGGGCTGCAACCTCCCGCAACTAGATTGAAAATGGCGACCGGGGGCCGGCCGAGAGGCGCGATGGTTGCGAACTCGCTTGGGATGCCAGAGGGCCCCGGTTCGGATCCCACATGTGAGGGCCAGTGACACTGCCCTCCACAGCTAAGATGCTGAACAACAGCTCAACCTGGAGCTGGGCTGCCATGAGTCGCCGGCGACGGCGTAGGCTGCAGCCTCTGTGGCAGTGGGTTGCCATGGGCTACCGTGTGTGGCCAGCAGCCAGCGTGAGCGGCCAGCAGCCGCAGTGAGCGGCCGTCCAGAGGCCGGCAACTGATCTGCCTCACCAGAGAAGAGCGCAATGATGGTGCCAACTTGGGCCAGTGAAGCAACGTCCTCCACAACTAGATTGAAGAACAAAACGACAGCAACTTGTCTGTTCCCCTTTCCCCAATTCCCCAGCACTGTTCCCATCCCCCAATTCCCCAATAAAAATCTTAAAAAAAAAAAAAGAAAAAAAAGAAAAAAAGAGAAAATGGCGACCGGGCTTGTAGCTCAGATGTGCACTCCACAACTAGATTGAAGGACAACGACTTGACCTGGAGCTGATGGGGCCTGGAAAAACACACTGTTTCCCTTCCCCAATAATCTTAAAAAACAACAAAAAAAAGTTCTATAGGGAATTTTACATCAAACTGAGGCTGACACCACTGAAATGAATCAATGGTCAGTTTTTTTTTTTTTTTTTAAAGATTTCATTGGGAAATTGGGGGAGGGAACACTGTTGGGGATTCGGGGAAGGGGAACAGACAAGTTGTCCTTTTTTGTTCTTCAGTCTAGTTGTGGAGGATGTCGCTTCACTGGCCCATGTTGGTATTGTGATCATTGCACTGTTCCAGCTGAGGCAGATTGGTCGCCGGCCATTGGACGGCCGCTCACACCAGCTGCCGGCCACTCACGCTGGCTGCCAGCCGCTCATGATAACTTACGGCAGCCCACTGCAGCCTACGCTGTCGCCAGTGACTCACGGCAGCCCAGCTCCAGGTTGAGCTGTTGTTCACCATCTTAGCTGTAGAGAGCGCAGCATCACTGGCCCATATGGGATCCGAACCGGCGGCCCTGCTCAGAGCTCGTGCTCCCAAGCCAACTTTTAACCAACGAGACACTAGGCCGGCCCAATGGTCAGACCTTAATATCACTAAAAATGGGATAACCATTTCATGCCTCACACTATGATGTAACAGGAAATCTGAAGCACCAACTATTATCTAAAATAATAAACTCGATCTAATCAAGCCTCAAGATACAGCTATCAGTATGAAGAAAATAAAAGGGACAGAAAAGCAAGCTAAATGATACCATGAGAAAGTAATCAGTCAAATCCAAAATATGACACATTCTATGGCCTAGTTTCTCCTTGACATCAATGGCATGGCCAAAAAAAAAAAAAAAAGTGGAGGAGGGGGAGATACTTAAGAGGCTGATCAATTGTTTCGATCATGTCTAAAATAAATCCAACTGTTAAAAAAATGGCATATTTGAGATAATAGGTAAATGTGATGGTAGACTAGACATAAGATGACATAAAGGAGTTACTGTTAATTTTGGTGGCTGTGGTACAGGCAAGGTGGTTACATTTTGTAAAGTCTGCATCACTTAAAGATGCACACCAAAGCATTCAGGTGCTTTAAAATGTGCCAGGGAAAAAAATGGGGGGAAGGGGAGATAACATATTTGGCAAAATGGTGTGTTCTTGAAGCTGAGGCTGAGTGAAAGGGACATGGGTTTTATGTCATTCTCTTTCCTTCAGTCAGTGTTTGAAAATTACCATACAAAAATGTAAAAAAAGAAAGAAAAGGAAAAAAGAGGCTAGAAAACTGGCATCAGGGAGAATAATGGAAAGTAAAGTAGGAGTGCCCGAAGAATTTCAGATTTGTAACCTTTCCTGAGCAGTACTGACAATATTTAAAATTTTAGGAACAAATTAGATTTTTAAAAACACAACTTTATGTTAGATGTTGGGGTTCCCCTACTACCCTTCTGTCCTTATTACCCGTCTTTAGGGATAGGACTCTTTCATTTTCATCTGATTATCTATTCATACTATAAGTATTTAAATGTACTCTGTGACAAAAGGACACTTGGTTGATTGTCTACTTTAGTGTTTCTCTACAAAGGATCTACCCGAATAGATGCTACACACATATTTGCTAATAACATCTACTAAAATAACATGGTGTTTATATAGTAACTTTCCCTAAGGTGTTTAAATACATTATAATTCTCATAGTTCTTAATTTGGAAGATAACAAACTTAAGGTGCAAAGCCTCAAATGATCTAATATTAAAGAATGCTAGAAATCTATTCACTTTGCAGTTCTCTTTTATCACATAAGTTTCTTCCAATATACCTACAAACCCAGAACATGCTTTCTTACATATTAAACATCTCATATGTATGAGATGTCTGTGCAATCCTATGCCTATAGCTAATTTTACTGTTAATCATCCTAGAGTAGAACACATATTTTACTATTTTTATAGTATGAACTGTGTTTAATGGCCAGAACGAAAACAATTTTTAGTTTAGTTTGTGTCACCAGTATAGTGAAAGGTATGTTTTGACCAAATTCAGTACATTCAACATGATTGCTAAGCAATGGAGATTAGCAAACTGATTATCATTAACTCTACATTAGATAATAAACTAAAAATACACACCAGACATTTACGTAACTAAATCATAAAAGTTCCTTTACACAATTCCATCCCTCACGGCTTCTCCAGAGACCTTCCTACCTTTTTGTTCTTTGGAAAGCTGCTCAGCTTGGTCCCAAATTTCTGTGGCGTAGAGGAAGTTGGATGTGACCTGGACATAGCTGGCTGCCATGTGGTGGATCCTGTGTGGAATGGTCACTGAAGAACCACTTGCTGAAGCACTACTGGCCCCAGAAGAGTAACTTCCTGAATTGCCTGGCGACAGCTTTGGAGAAACAGGGGAAGGCATCCCAACAGCTTTGCTACACACGGAGAAAACAGGGAGCTTATTCATGTGGATATGGTGAACATGACAACATCAATGTACTATGCCTGGGCTCTCCCTACACAAAAGCTTTTAAAATTTAAAGATACTTTTAAACTAGAAGGATTCCCAGCGAAGTACAATTTCTTCCAAATAAGTACATAACTCACTAAAGACCACTGTGAATTGTCATCTTCTTTAAACTCTGTTTTAATGAACGGCAACACAACCAGGGATGGGAAAGAACAGAGAAAGTCATACACATATCAACAGTTGAAAGGTTGGATCACCTCACGCCCAGCTCAATATATTTTCCATCTATTAGGGCAAATATTTAGGTACTTTTCAAATTGTTTTGTGGAAAGTTGGATGGAATCAACAATTTAACACACAAAAATTGTGGTAGTAGGTGGGAACATCTTAGTCTGAATTCCATAATTTCTAGTATTTCCCTAGTTTAACCAAGTTATTCAGAGCTGACAAAGAGGTACAGCTTTCTCACCAACTGCACTCACTTCAAGCTTCTGTCAATTAAATATTTCTTAGAAAACACATGTTAAAGCTGGCAGGGTTCATTTTAGCAGTACTAAAGTTTGTGGAAATGCCCAAGACCATAAAAAAAGGAAAATAAAACAAAAGTTAGGGGGAAAAAAAGCTATTTGTTAGAATATTTTAATCTGCACTTTTAGCACTATAAATTTGGTTAAGAAAATATGTATGGGCAAAAACAAATGTCAATTAACATAAACATAATAATTGAGCAGATAAATTTACCAACTAAATAAAGGTTTCACGGTATTTTTCCTTTTTTTTTGAGGAGGGTAGGATGGAAGTGATGTGGAGATAGGGAAGAAACCACAATCATGCGACTATTATTAAATTCTGGCAGTGTCAAGATTTGAGTAAAGATAAACTCACTGTGATAAAAACCCAAGTAGTTACAGAAATCGAACTGTGAGACGAGTTGAGATGCTATAGAAAACTCAGATTTCTGCAGGTGAAATGTCCCCTCTCTAATCTTTCTAAGATTATGTTCATTATCCTATTCAGTTTATAAAAAAGAAAAAATGATAATTTAAAAATGTTTTATTAGAGATGGTTTTAATTATTTAAAAAGGTGTCATCTTCCCATTTTTGAAAATTGGATCATACCCATTCCACTTTTACATAAAAATAAACTTGTCACAAATAATATTTTATATAATAAAACTGACCTACCTTCCCAAGCCAGGTGATGGTGCTTGAGAATTATTATAAGAATTCTGTGGAGAAAATAAAATGCACTTAATAAAAATAAAAAACACTACTTGTGAAGTACTAAATATATTAAAAGCATTGGGCCAGAACTGACTTAAGAAGCTTTATAGATTAAAAAACAAAAAACAAATTACGCGTGTGTGTGTATGTGTAAATGTAAATGTAAAATAGAAAGAAGTTATAGGTGAGAGCTGGGGTGTTCTGGAAAACTTAAGGGGGACACAAAGAATGAGTAACACTCAGACTGATAAAGAGGAGGGGAGAGGGCATAGAGAGGTGAATCAGACTATGTACAAAGGTTGCAGAAAAGAGAATGTATGTGACCCATACAGCTTTCTTCGAGCAGAGGTTTAAATTAGGAACAAGAGAGAGACCTGAGGGCCCTGCAAGTCTGGGTAAGAAGCTTGGACTTGACCCTGCAGCAATGGTAAGCTAATGGAAGGGTTCCTAGTTATAATTAGGGCAGGATTTTAAGAAGATTTATGTGTTGCTGTCATGAAAAAACACAGAAAGACGTTTTAGAAAACTAAGGTAAGTTTAAGGAAAGATGGTAGTGAAAATAAAAGGCCACTTTAAATGTATAAATTAGGTTTCATGATAAAAATAGCCTACCTACATCTAGTGAAATGTTATTAAGAGCTACTGAATACGTAGCTCTACATAGGTTCTACAATCAAATATATGTGCATTTAAAAACTAATCAAGAAACCTCAAACTTATTTGAAAGTTCCCAAACAGTAGCTCTCTGCTTGCTGTGGCAGGTAAAACATGAGGGCACTTTTGGGGTAGGGATAGGAGACTTTACACATTTTGTCTCCTGGGAAGGAACCTTCCCTCAGTGCACTTGCCTTCAGGTGCTCCGTCAGTGTCTTGGAGTACTTCAGAGCATTTTCCTTCTTCAGTTTGAACAGCCTCAGGTACAGCAAAGACTCGCATCGTAGGCTAGTCAATGGAAAAGGGCAACTTATTTACAGGACAGCACACTCTGGCCTCATCTGCACAGACAACCTTTGCATCATGTAAGAGCACATGACTGGCTCATGTGAGCAGACCAAGGCATAAGGCATAAGGCCAGCATCACTAACCCTTAAGCAAACCCAAAAGCTGTGTTTTTATTATGGTGCGCACCCTATGGAGGGGGAAGGAAGGGGAAGAGATCTAGCACTAGCCTCTTATTTGCTGACATTCAAAAATTAAAACCTCACCCACAGGACCCAAAAGGTCATTGTAACACGTGCATTAAAAAAAACAAAAAAAAATCGCTGAGGGGCACTCTCTATATCAAATTATAAGTGAAATTAAACAACAGAAAGTAGGAAACTCAACTCTGAATATTATAACTTTGATGAAACATATATAAACCTTAACATGGCTTACAAAGGCTCTGCATGATCATCACTGCCTACCTTTCCAGCCACTTTCACTTCTCACAAGTCTTCTTCTAGTTCCTCTATAGTTTCTGGTTTCTTTCCGCTATCCAGTCATTGTATGTGTTCCCTTTACCTAAAGACTAGGTCTCCCTACACGACTCTTATCATTACATATACTTTTGTTTCAAAGTACTAAAATCATATACTTGTGTGATTATTTGATTTATTTCTGTCTTCTCATGCTAGACACTATGACATATAGAACCGTGTCAGTTTTACCCACAGCTGCACTACCAGCTGTTAAACACAGTGCCAGGTAAATACCTAGAACAAATGAACTGATACATCTTCCTGGAATACAAGCAAACAGGCCACATTCTTTATTCTAAGCAAGCTAAACATTTGGTCTCCAAGAAAAGATATATACAGAGGACACCAAAGTACCAAAGGAAGAGCCTGGAAAAGTGACAATGGAGAGTTCTAATATCAGTCCCACTCTACCAAGGCTTTTGTCAAGAGGGCCATGGATCAGACCGACAACTATTAAAGTTTTTCAGTAGGAATTTTGAGTTCTTTTCTACTCAATGGTTATAGTATATTGATTCAAGGATAACTTTTAGAAGAGTATAAACACACTTTATTATGGAACTGCCTGTCATCTAGCAGAGGCTGGAACACACAATACTTACCAAAGTACTGTGAGTCTTTTATCCGCTGCTGTAGCATCTGGTGCTAAGTAATTCTTTAGCTTCATAGTGTATCTGTGAATTAAAATAACAAATGATACAAAATATTTCACCTTGATCTTATGACTTCCTTAGTCCTCAAAACATTAGAATCAAATCTACATAAGGGTAAAATTGCCCACTGAAGTATCTAGTTCTCCTTATCCAAGGACAATAAAGGATTAAGCATTCTCTTTGGCCTTATTGTCTAGAGTCATGATGGTTACGACAGGTGTTGTTAGGCAACTTTGTCACTTTGTGAACATCACAGAGTGCACTTACACAAACCTAGATGGCACAGGCTACCACACATCTCGGCTATATGGTAGAGCCTATTGCTCCTAGGCTACAAACCTATACAGCATGTTACTGTACAAAATAACATGAGATTAAATCAAGCACAAGAGAAAATGATGCAATCAAGTGATGGGGTATACGTGAGATGTATGAGGCTGCTGATACGTAACGGCATACTATTTTACAGTAAGTAAACTTTTATTTTAATAAGTAGAAAGAATACACTCTAAACACAATAAAAAGTATAGTAAATACATAAACCAGTAACAGAGCTTTTTTATCATTGTCAAGTATTATGTCTTATACATAACCGTATGTGCTATACTTTTATACGACGGGCAGAGAAGTGGGTTTGTTTACACCATCACCACAAACACATAAGGCATTGTATTATGACATTACCATGGATCTGACGATACTAGGAGGTAGGAATTTTTCAGCTCCATTATAATCTTATGGGAACATCATCGTATGTGCAGTCTGTCATTTACCGAAACGTTGTTACGCAGTGCATGACTGTATAGTTATGCCAACCCCTTCCTAGATACACAAGAGAAATAATATTGCCAACGATGTGGCAAGTTTTCCCACTTACTTGATGAGATCCACCGTCTCTGAATACATAAGAAATGGGGATTTGGATTCCTGAGCATTTTTCTCTAATGCATTCCCACATTCAATGAAAGATACCACGGCATCAAGATAGTACACAGCCTTCTCAAACCTGTCAGACTGAAGAAAGGGGAAAAAAGAGAAATGTGAGCTGCACTGATGTCCCATGGGAACAAGCAACAAATGAAGATTTAATTGGATTAAATACATAAATGTGAGAATATTTACATACCAAAGCATCTGCATTGTGCTTTAGCTTTTTTGCTTCTTGTAAATAATGGTCTGCTGAATAATTTCTGCAATGTAAATTTTTATTGTAAATAAAGTGGTAAATATTTTCATAAGATAATACTAGTTCATTTTAGTCTCTAGCATCCCTCAGTTTTCATGTCCTCAAGTAAAGAAAATGAGCTATGACTAAACATTCGATTCAGTTTCTTCTGACACATGTTTATACTGGGTTTAAGAGCATAAGTCATTTTGGCCAACTCATAGAAAATTTTCTACTTAGGAAAATAGAAATCAAGCTCCCTACTATTGAATACTAACTTACCCAAGTTGTTTGAAAGATTTAGAGTAAATAAAATGTAAGTAGGAGAAATAATTTATCAAAATGGAGGAAAAATCCAACATTGCTCTAACGAATTTAAGAAAGCCCTATTTTAAAGTGATACCAGCAGCAGTGAGATTCTACTGGAAGGCAAATCATTCACATCCCCCATGAGAGTCATGGAATTAAGTTAAAGGAGCAATGCTTAGGACTAAGTGAGTACCTTTTAGATTAAGTTCTGAATATTCTGTAGATCACAACACAAGTATAAATTCTTCTAGTCACTGGTAGATATTAAAATGAGTTTCTTACATGCTGACTGGAACGATTTTTTGAATGCATAAAAAATCTTATTTATCTCACCTGTCGTCAAAGACAAGCTTTGTTCTCCGAGGCTTAGAAGTATCAGGAGTTGGTGTAGATGGAGGACAGTTAGAGGAACTATTTGAAGCTTTTTCCTGACCAAAAAAATATATAACTATGTTAAAATTGTGAGGAGATTAAAAGTAAGCTAAAAGTATTTCCTAAGACACTGGTAAAAAGAAAACAAAATTCCACTGACTTCCGTAATTAATTTCCTTGTTATAAAAATTTTAAATTTCAGAACTTACATATCCTTTTTACAAAATGAATCCATTTTATATAACAAAAAACATTCATTCTAATATTAGGGGTCTACTATGCGCCAGGCACTGACCTAGGCACTTGTTAAAACACAAGGAAGACACCAAACCTAGTATCAAAATACCAGTACTACTTAAGACAAAATTTATTGGTAATTACTAGTCAATGAAAACAGCAATAATAATATCTAACATTTACTATGTGCTTACCACTTACCAGGCACTAAGTTAACTAAGTATTTAGCACAATCATTAATCCTTCAACAACCCTATGAAATATGTACTGCTATTAGGATAGAATAAAAATCAGTCTCAAGGAGGTTTAGTAACTTGCCCAAATTCAAACAGCTTTTAAGTAGCACTCGGGAATTTGGGTTTTAAGTCCAGATCTATCAGATTTCAAAAGCCTAGCCACTTTCTTTAACTTTATTCTGCCTTTTATCATCATATCCCTTTTATGCCAGGGCTATGATTCTGTCTTCACAACTGCTTCCCCATCCAACCCTAACTTTAATAAAATGAATATACATTTTTCCATAATAAAATATCATAAATAAGTAGAATTATCCTATAAATGCACGAATGTTTCGACATTAGAAAAACCATAATATACAATTTTACTACGTGTGCTTGAAGTCTATTTAAAAGTAACCATGTAACCATTTTCTTTTTTTGTATGGTAAGAGATTTTCGGTTTCACTCATTACAGTTTACTTCAAGGAATGAAAATAAAAGTCCTGAGATTTGACAAAATATTAAGCTCTTTATGGTCAAGTTTGCATGTTTATGAAGTGGCTGTCTAAATTTTATGTTGCAATGTAACATTACTAGAACAGCTTTTAGATATACAGTGCCTAAGTTTAGATTTATTGGAAGAAGACTGAAGTATCTGGAAAAAAAAAATTTCCAGGTATTTCAGTACACTTTTCTTTCTTTCTTTTTTTTAAATTGGGGAATTGGGGGATGGGAACAGCCCTGGGGAATTGGGGGAAGGGGAACAGACAAGTTGCTGTCCTTTTGTTCTTCAGTCTAGTT